TTTATTAATTATCTGATATATATTATTTAAATTTTGTATGATAATGCTATACTATTCAACTATATTATTAATATTAAAGTAATAAAGATCATTTTGCTTTAAATTTTATATAATTAGTAGCTTAATTCATTTATATAATTTTCTTAAAACCTTTAATTCTTCATTCATTTCATCAAATTTAGACTCTTATTTATATAAAAATTTTATAGTTTTATTTATAAATTTTCAGTTTTTGTTAAATTTATCTATATATATAAATTTGATTTTATTCATATTTTCTTTTTTTTATTTATATTTAAAATTGTATCAATGATTTCATCATTAATAAATTCATCCTCTAATATTTCATTTTCAATATGTATATATTCATATGTATTAAAATCTTTTCTAAAAGTTAAAGAAGTAATATATTAAGCTTATCAATTTTTCTATTAAAACTAAAAATATAAATATGTATTAAAAACTATCATATATAATATTATATTATATAATATTAATTATACTATATCTATCAGAAATTACTGTATCTTAATCTTCAAATTTATTAATTTTGTTATTTAATGAAAGAATATCTATTTATTTTAATAATTTAAAATTATTTATGATAATACTATTGACTATACTTTAATTATATTTTGTAGAGTATTATAGATAGTATAATTATTAAACTCTTTTATAATACTATTCTATATATTATCATATATATTACTTTGATTTAAAATAAAAAGGTACTTGTAATAATACTTGAAAAATAAATAATTTCTATATCATATAGTTAAAATTTAATAGTAGTATTTAATAAAAGAAATTGCATATTTATACTATCTAATTTTTTTAAGTTTCATTCAAAATAAGATATACTAATATATTATTAATTAAAAGGATAAATTTTCACTTTTTTTATTTCATTATTTTATTAAGTTTAAAAATAATACTTTGTTAAAAATACTAATTTACATATATATCTTCTTATTCTAAAATAATAAATAAAAAATTTTTTATAATTAATATTTCTTATAATATAAGAAGTTTTATACTTATGAATAAATATAAATATTATTTTTTTAATGCCAGTTGTATTTATATAGCAAAATATTATAATACATAATTTTTCTTTTTATGAACTAATATAAGAGTTCATACTAAAATACTAGAAGACTTTATTTTCAAAAAGGCTAGTTTCAAAATTATAAGATATAAAAATTATTGTAAAGTAATATGATTATTTACTATTAACTCAGTAGAAAGTGTACTTGCAATTTTACTTTACTTTTTAAATTAGTATTAACTATAACATTTTTTAAAACTACATAATTACCTTTTAGAATTATTAAATCTTCTATAGAAAACTGTTTAGCAAAATAATTTTCTTTTGTTTTTAAAATATTATTATCAATATTTTATTTTATATTAAGTATATTATTAACTCAAATACTGAGTACTTTCTTAAGTTAAGTTCATTTAGAATTATAAAATTTTATAATATTTTTTTACTCTTTTAAAATTGTAATCTAATGCTCTTTTTCATTCAAATATTAGTAACTGTTAATTTTTTAATATAATATTATTATATAAATTCAATATTAAGAAAACTTGGATTTTTTTCATTTTACATATTTCATATTTTTATGTAGCTAAAAGAACAACGCTTTTTCTTGATATAATATCAGAAATATTTAAATAAAAAATTTTATGTATTCTGAGAAAGAAAGATTATTTACATTATGAATATTTTTAAGTCACATAATAGTTTAGTATATCAAATATGTAGTTAATATCTTTAGTTTAACTAACTTAATTCAGATATAGTATTGTCAACAGAGCAATTGACTAATCATAATGAAGTCATGTGAATGATGCAGTATAACGATCTTTTAATCCAGAATTCTAAAATACTGAGAATTCTGCAAATTCTGAAAATACAGAAGATCTACGTAATTCTAAAGATCTAAATACTGATAATAATCATAATTTTACAAATTAAATGAAGTTTAAAAATATTTAGTATTATATGTATTTTTAATATTCTAAATTTTATTGTTATTTTTATTATATTTTATATTTTTATTATTTTACGTATTTTTATTATTCTCAATATATTTATTTTACTTATATTTTATTTGTTAAATTAGTTAGTTTATAGCATAGTAATTAGTTAGCTATAACAAAAGAAATTTTGTATAAATAGATAGACTTTTTGCTTATGTTATAAATTAACTCTTTTGCAAATTGAAGTAACTCTTTTGCAAGTTTGTAAGTATGAGTTTCAGTATTAATAAAGAAATCTATTAAAAATTTATATTTTTCTGTCTCTTCGTGTCTTTATATAATCTGCTGTGATCTCTACACATTATTTGTAATTGAGTTCATCATTTGAATTCTTTAATTAAAATTATTCATAATTTTGTCTTTCAAGTTTTCATACTTGATAGATTTGTTTAAGTCTAACGCGTAAATTTAGTAAAGTTAAGAGTTAGGTAAATCCTAATGTTTTGACTACAGTAAGTTGCAGTTAGGAATTTCAAGTAGAGACTTGATAACGTAATCCCCTCAAGTTGAAGAATTTCACAGTGACAGTATATAGAATTTTACTATATCCTCTATAGTCATTCTTCTATACAATTATATCATATAAATCCCTTATTATAAGCACAAATTTTATAAGAACTAATACTTATTAATACTATATAAATAACCTTTATAATCACAGTATTTTTATAATTACATTTTTTCAGAACTAATACTTAGTAACAAATATATAAAAATCCTTATATAGTTACTATTTATTATAATCACACTTTTTATTTTAGTTTTAAGAGGTATAACTATAAAGGAAAACAACTGTATCTCTAGTATAATTAATTATAAAAAATCAGTTCTGCATCACATTGTTCGATATAATGAGTTTTTAGTATAAATAAGTTTATTATAATCAGTGATAACTGTATACCTCAATTTATATATAATTTAAAATAGCATAAATTATCATTAAGGCAATTTACAACTTTGAGTATTGAAAAGAAAATTATGAATAGATAATATTAATAAATTTTTAAAATCCAATTGATTTATATTTATAGGTAAAATTATATTTTGGTTGCATTGTAATGGATGTTAGTAACCAGTAGTTTATAATATTATGGTTTATAAAACACATCAATTTTATTATCTGATTTATAATATACCTGTTGCTTTTTAGTGAAAAATTCATGTTATTAATAATGAAAATATGCAATAAAAACAAAATAAATTGATTTTTAATTCATTATGAATTAATTGATTTATTTATTGTATGCCATCTATCTATATTACTTTGTTAAAAATTTTATAAAAGAATGTATCGAATAATTAAATTCTAATGGTAACCTAACATTGTATTTTCAGACTGTAAAGTTGGATTAGAAAATTCATCTGTAAGACTATAAATGCAATATATAAATTTAATGTGATATATTATAAATATCAAATATTTATTTAACTCTCTTACCGTTTGATAAAATCACCAGAAGTCACAAAAAATTCACCCACAAAAAATCCACATAAAAATTCATAAGATTCTTGTAATTAATTTTCACGCCATAAAAATTTGATTTTATATTTCTCATCTGCATTATTCATGCAAACATAACCTCTTGTGCAGCAATTTTTATGATATTTAGTATCTCAGTTGGAATTTAAAAGTAAACCCAGTTTTTTATCCACCTTCTACTCCTTCAAAATAACATTGATATTTGCGTTGTAAGGGATTATAACTAAAGGTTGTTTCACTTTTAAACAAATATACAAAAATATGCTCAGGGAATAAGTCTATATGAATATGACGACGACCTATACTTGTTCGATTAAATCCTAGTCGCTTGTTAATGAGAAAGACAATTCCATCCTGGTATTTTTGAGTTCAACGTCAGACTTGGTCGGAAATGAATATTATAAGTGTTTGAACAAAGGGCACATAAAAATGGTTTAGCTCTCGGTAATCAAAATTGATAAACATTTTTAAATGTCACACCGTGATATAATCGGAGTGAGCAACATCCGCCCATATGTCCATCAATTAAAAATTTTCAAAGAAATGTTGCTCCATTACATTGAAAATGTTTAGCGTCAATCCGTCTCTTTTATGCAAAGTAAATCTTCACTCAATTCTGGTTACACGATTTAATTTGATATTGTGTAGCATTTCGATGATTCTTTTCCGTTACATGAATAACTAACATAAGAGGTATCTTTTATGTCTTTTTCATTTCTAAAAAGCGTATTGATAAAATGTATTTTCAGATTATCAAAATCTATTGTGAAATTTATGAATTCATTTCGGGACGAATAAAAGCTGATAACATTATAAGCTCCAAATCTCTTTGTTAAAATAAATGGAATTTAATAATTATTATTTTCTCACGGTTTTCATATATCCAAAAAAAGAAATCATTATTAAAGAAAGAATTGATTGTAATTTAAAATGATTATTTAAATGAATGATTCACGACAGTTTTGAACTTAAATTTTTCTCATAGGAATAAAGAAATAAAGACGAAAAAAAAAAAAAAATAACTTTATTTATTAATTTTTTAAATTAAATATTCAAATTGGCCTTGCAGCAATCGGATATTTAATCGTGTCGTGATGCCCAAACGTAATTTTAAAAAATTTATAATTATTAAATTTTTAAAATTCTTGACGAAATCTAGAATAAGATTTAGATTTAATTTCAACCAAAATTATTTAATTTTACCATTACCATTACTCGTACTATTTCAAATAAGTTTTACAAAAGAATTGATCATAATTTTAATTCATTCGCTCATTTGCGATAACGAATCTAACGCGGGAGAACATAATGATTTACTCATTCAACAAATAACGCCTCAAGTTATTGATATTGACAGTGAAGATAAACATGAGGAAGCAGTAGAGGAATATCCTGAAGGTGACTCATGCGTAGTTTGTAAAAAGCCTTACGATAGTACCCTCTTTTGGTGCGCCGAATGTTGTCCAAAACGACTTCAAGATGATTTCCCAAATTGGACGAGCGGAAAGCAAGAGTTGGATGAATGTATAAGAAGAAATCAATTGAATGCCGTTGGACACAAGAATTATTTCGAATGGATCCCGTTCGAGAGATTTACGGATATTAAGAAAATTGGAGAAGGAGGGTTTGGAATCGTATATTCTGCCATCTGGATTGATGGTCCGAAATGGAAATGGGACAATGAGAGATTGAAATGGGTTGCATCTGGTCCTAGAAAGATTGCTTTCAAAACGCTTAAACGTAATGCTATGTTCAAAGAATTTTTAAATGAAGTGAGAATAATTTTTTTTTTTAAAAAAAAGAAAATAATTGAAGATAAAAACAAATTTTGTCCTGGAAAATTTATTTATGTAAACGTTTATTATGTCAGCTTGAATGTCATTCTCTTTGTGTAAGCGTTAGAAGGATCGTTCATTGCTTCGGTGTCACCCGTGAACCAAAAACTGGATACTATATGATGGTTACTAATTTTGCAAATGAGGGTAAGTTAGTTGGATAGAATCGTCACACGATCTAAACTAAAGTATGAATACTCTTAAATTAGGTGATTTAAATTCATATATTAAAAAACGACATCAAGACTTGAATTGGGAACGAATCATTCGCTTGTCACGAGATATCGCTAAAGCTCTTCGAGGACTTCATAGAGAGGTAATCGTAAATTGATTCTTACCACGTCGTTACATCAAACATTTTAAACCTTTTACGTTCATTATTTCAGGGTCTTATTCATCGTGACCTTCATAGTGGTAATATCCTAAACCATGTGACATGCAATGGAATCACATGGACTTGGCTTGCCGACTTGGGGTTATGTGTGAAAGAAGAGGATGTTGCGCGACTAGTGATGGAGAATGGACCATTGTTTGGAAAGATTGGATATATGGCACCTGAAGTACTTCGTCGCATAGAAATATATACAAGAGCTGCAGATGTCTATTCTTTTGGAATGATACTTTGGGAGTTGACCTCATGTCGTATGCCGTTCTCCAATATGAGACAAGATGTTCATCTTATGTATGAAATTATTGATGGCAAGAGACCAAAGATTGTTGAAGGTACACCACCTGCATTTGCTAAACTCATCGAAGATTGTTGGCAAACTGATCCAAATTTGCGGCCGACCATGGAAACAGTTCATAAAAGGATTTGGTCATTCGCAAATTCAATGATCAAGGGAAATCGCAAAGACAGATATGGATTTCGAGCGGCGGAGGAGAAAAGAAGTTTGATTTTGTCAAAAATGGCGTATCCAGAAGTGATTAATAGTCAACAAATTTTTCTAAGGCCAAGGCCACTTGCGCGAAGATTTAATCAAAGTGGTATGACGATCATAAATGAACTTGGCTTTATTTAAGTTCAAAATTTTTAACAAAAAATTTCTTATCTTGTTAGAAAATATTTTTAGACAGAACCTCTTAATTAAATCTAATAATGATCATATTGGTAATGTTTCTAATCCTGATCATTTTTTTAGAAAAAGTTTTTCCAAGATTGTAAATTTATTTTATTTATTTTTTATTTTCTAGGCTCTCATGAATATAGTTGTGCAATTGGTAAGAAATTTATAATAATATAACGTTTAAACAATACACTTGTATCATATTAAAAATGTTCCTACGATTTACTATTCCTTAGATTCTCATGCTAATGTTAATAGTCGTTGCAGTCCTAAATTTGAAGATACAAGCAACTCATTAACAACCCCTAGAATGATTGCATAAGTTTCTTGCATGGATTATGTTTCGTTTGATATTTATTTAACCTCTGTTTTAACGCCTCCCTTTCTATCATTTAAATATTTCGGATTTTACTTTTTTTTTTTTTTTTTTTTCTTTAAAAAAAACTTGACTTGGAATTTGTAATTTGTATAAGAACCAACGCACTGATAAATTTTAAGAAACTGGCGAAATATATTTATACAATAGTAATAAGTATAAAAAATTTATTATGTTAGAGATTAATAAAAAAAAAAAATGAATCAATTATATCAATAGAAACTATTAACTAGATCGGAAAAAAAATATAAATATAATTTTATGAAGGTAGAATCTAAAAATAAAACAAATTCAAATAATGAATTATTAAAAGCAAGACTCTGCAAAAGAAATGAAAGGTTTCATCTATACATATATAATTTGTCTTGAACCTAAAATTGAAACCCCAAGCATTACTATAGCCGAAACCATATGTAAGCCTTTACTGCTTGGCAATAACCAAGTCTAAACGAGAGTATTCTCATCAGGAAACAAATGGTGTGTCAGTATTTATTGGGTGTTAATCGGAAGGATTCCGAAACATATGATGGATTATTAAAGATAATATCGAAAATATAATCTGTTAAAGAATTTAACTTTAGAAATAACCCCCGTTTAATAAAAAGAACTAATCACAAAAATACACGAATTCTTTATTTAATTTTTGATAATTAACAAAATGTGAAACAATTAAGATTTCTTTTGAATCATTTTTCAGTTCATTATTATAAAATCCAAAAGCATAAATTAATTGAAAAGGTATTTTATGAAATAGACAGTTATTTTAAATTTTAAAAAAAATTTTTTTTTTTGATTAATAATATATATTATTCAACTTTTATCTACATATTTATCACAGAATATTATACATTTTTATTGATACAATTTTATCTTATCAAAATAAAAAAGTCAGTTTTTAACTATTAAAAACTGGTTGACTTTTTTTTATAAATTTTTATATAAAATTTTTAAAAAAAAATCAAAATATCAAATTTATATATTATCTTTTATAATAATCATAAAAAGAATATAAAAAAAATGATACACATATATATAAATTTAAAAATTTACTCAAATAAATAAAAATTTAAATTAAAAAAATTATAAAAAAGTGTAAATATTATCTTGTAATATTAAATATTTTCGATTATTATAATTAAAATTTATGTTTAGATAAAAAAAAAATATAATGTTTATATTTAAATATACTTTTTAATACAAATATTTTACAAAACAAAATAATAAGTATAATTATTAATTAAAATTTGTAAAAAAAATGAAAATTTCTATATAAAATATTATAAAAAGATGATAATATATAAAAGATAATAAAAAAGAAAAAATAATATATTAATGCAAAAAAAAATAACATTAATATATTAGTTTTTAAATTTTAAATCAATTAAAATTAAATATTATATAATATAAAAAAAATTTAATATTTGATTTTATTATCTTATAATAAAAATATTTATTATATTATTTATATTTTAAATATTAAATATAATAAAGATAATATAAATAAAAGATATTTGTATTAGCATTTAGATCATAAAAATCATAAAAGAATTATATTAAAATATAAGATAATTTTTAATTAAACTTTATATTAATTTTATTTTATTAAATTAAAGTTATTTATTATAATCTATAAATTTAAATTTTTAATTTTTAAGATAATTAAAATAAATTAATATATTATTTAATAATCTAAAAAAAAATAGATAATTTTTTAATAGAAAATCTTTGTTTTTCTTTTTTTTTCTATAAAAGAAAATCAGGTTTTACAAAATTATGATAACAGCAGCAGGGAGGGTGTGCAGACTGATTTATTTTTATCTGGAAGCTTAAGAATGATAGTTATCAAAATACGTAGTCTAGGCCTTTTCTCTCAATAAAATAAATACTTATTAATTTCACTGTTCTAGGGCTTTTCAAAATATAGTTTTAGTATATTAATAAAATTAGTATTCTTAGAACGTATTCTAGCTCCTCTTGCTCAATGAAATTACTAATTTATTTTCTTGCCTTCGCACGCCTTCCTGATTATAATTCTGACATAATAAAAATTTACACCTAATAAAAAGTATTTATAGATCATGTTATTTTCGCCTGAGAACTTCAAGAATGATAGTTAACAAATATTGTTCTCTAGCCTCTCTTACTTATCAAAATTACTAATTTGTTTTTTTACCTTTACGCGTCTTCCTGATTATAATTCTGACATAATAAAAATTTACACCTAAGCAGACTGATTTATTTTTACCTGAGAGCTTAAGAATGATAATTATCAAAATACGTCTCAATCTTATTTTCAAAGCATTCTAACTAGACTTTTTTGAAAAAATACACCTAGCAAAGTAAAAAATTTTCACCTGAGCAGACCAAGCAGGGAGAGCGGGTAGACCTTAGGTGAAAAAGGCTATTATGGTGTAAAAAAAATCAGAATAGCATGCCTTTTTTCTCACTAGATTCGAAAAAAGAAGCTAAGCTTTCTCAGCAATAGCTTCAAAAGGGGTTTTGTCTGCTGACAACTCTAAAAGCAATTCATTAATTTTTATCTGAATTAAATTATCAGTATTAGCTTTAGCCTGAAGCCTATTAAAATATTGGGTTACATAATAGGTATCAGAATGCTTTCTACAAAGGCCAGGTTCAGAGTTAGTCAGCTTGCCACAAACCTTTTTTTCTCATAAATTCGAAAAAAAAGAAATCTAATAGAATATACTATTAAGTTAGGTTATATTCTATGATAGATTGAAAAAGGGATAATTAATTATTATTTGAATAAAAGTTTTCGTACTATTAATACAAACAACTGAATTGATTCACTTACTATCTAAAATATTACTTTAATGTCCTCAATGTGAAAAAAATAACTTTAAAAAGACTCGTGATTTAATAAATCATCTTAACAGAAAGTTTAAGTGCAAGCAAACCCAATCACCAGTACTCAACCTTCAATCTCCTGTAATTCATGTTCGTGAAAATCATCTATTTATAGAGGATTTAGCTGACTGGCTAGCAAATCCTAAGATAAAAAACAACCCAAACATTATTAGTAAAAAGATTCTGAAAATAGATGCAGAATGGTTTGATTTAATGGAAAAGTCAACTGGTAAATCACAAAAGAAAACCTCAACTCTCCTGTCAAAAGAAGATCTTGAAGCTAAACCTGACCTAACAACTAAAGCTTATAGAGAAGGACAAAGAAAAAAAGTGATACCAGCTCCTGAGATTATTGATCAAAAGGATGGGTTTGAAGACAATCTTAAAGATCTAGATAAAAAAGTGCCTTAGTCAGTTTCATTTCCAGATAATAAAGAGCATCAGAAATTGTGACAAAAGAGAATTTAGACAGCAAAAGACATGTTTAAAGTAAATAGTGCTGAATATATATTTTTGACTTAGTTTGCAAATTATATTCTACATAAAGATATCAGAAATATACTATTAACAGCTAAAAGTGAAGAAGAAGTTGTGATAAAAGTAAAAGAAGAATATTTATATAGAGAGTGACATATTGATATCGAAGGTGTAAAAAAATCATTACAGGAAAAAATAAAGGCATTAATACAGAAATATAAGATAAAAAATAAAGGAAGTCTAGAATGGATAGCATATCTGGAACATAGTTTTAAAAGATTAGAAAATTATGAAGCTAAAATAATTAAAGAGTGTGCTAAGAAGATTTTAGATGTAATAGATGATGATAGGTTTTTTATAAGAGTAAAATTTGTTCGGAAGGATAAAGATCATTTCAAAATTATTGATAAATATGAGCCCATTCATAAATCAAAGAAGGCTGGTAAAAAATTCGTTCTAGAAGGTCCAAATGTTATCTTTACAAAGAAAATAAAGTCAGGCTTTTGGGTAGGAATTGATGAGAAATTTTTAGTTAGAATCATTCAAAGTGAAAAAAATCAGAATATAGAGAGCTTGATGCAAATGCAATTGTATATGAGTTGTATTGAATCTGAAGACCAGATAGTAAACGATTAATGCCAATGAAAGATGGTATACTTAACTATATAGTCTAATGAGTAATAGAGCATTTTGAAAAGCAAAAAGAGGGTATGGGCTTACCAGTACACGTAAATAAAAAATTAGCACATGGGAAAAAGAATGTGTCAACCTGATGCTTGAGTAGAGGATGTAGCAGAATTGAAAAAAATACTTAAGAGGCCAATCAAATTACTTGATATTACTCATGGAACTATTTTTAATAGTGGAAAATATCGAACAAGTAGGTTTGAAGAAATAGAGATAGTAATTCATAATAGTCATGCATTTCCTAGAAACTATCATTTTCCAAGAGATCGAATGGTAGAGTATTATAGTGATAACACATGGAAGGCTATCAATAAAACTCTTCAAGGTCTCTAAGCAATATAGCTTATTAGACTTGGACTTGAAGAAGACGAAACATTAGAAGAAATCCAGTCAATATCCCAATTTGTTTTAGAAGATGGTTGTACATTTAGAACATGGATGAAGCATACAGATATTATAAAAGTATGTAAGGAATTATTTAAGAATGCGGTAGACTGGCAATTTCGAAAAAAAATAATTAATAAAAACAGAAATCAGGAGTCCTTAGAATCACTTAAAATAGTTGAGATAGCAGAACAGATGTTTAGTGCTAATCATGCTGGAAGTAAACTTACCAATGAGATCAATGATTAGTACTCTACTCCTGCTAGTGTACATGAAAATATAAAGCAATTTTGCATCAAATATAAGCATAGAGGACGCTGGAATGCACCTAATTATCAAGTTAAAGATGTTATATGTATAGACATGAAGGAATGCTATCCAGCAAGTATACATGGTCAAGGAGAGTGTTCACCATGGTTTAAGCAGTTTGAGCATCCAACACACCATCTTGTCTGAGTAACAGTGAATGAAAAATTACCACAAGATGATATAACTGGATTTGCGCAGGTAAGATCTTTCAAATTTGTCCTCAATATCCATCTAGCAATTCCCATTTGGTATAGAAAACATTTTACTTATCGAAGTAAAGAAGGATATGGGAAGACAAAAGGATGGATACCTATTATGCTTTTATAATATTTTCTCAAAATAGGTATCCTATAAAGTATAACTATAGGAGAAGCTATTATTTTTCTTACCAAGCAAACGAAGGTATGGTTGCCTAAAAATCAGGATATAAGTTGCGCAATCATAGAAAAATTCACACAAGGAAATAAAGTTGAAGAAAAGCACCTTACTCACCAGGTTGTAATAGACGAAGGTGAGCTTGATTTTTTGATCCAGGATTGCATTAAGGAAGAGACATATGCAGGTAATGATAAATATCCGCTTGGGCATATACTTACATATTACGAAGGTCATTAGCCTCAATATACACATTTGCAGGCTTTGATATTAGCTTATGCTCATATAAACTTGCTGAAAATGCTCCAGAAATTTGGTCCTAATGAAGTAGTAAGAATTGCAACAGATTCTATATATATACGAAGCGAGGTCTTATATAAGATTGAAAATGTATCTGCTTTCTTCAAGCAAGCTAAACGCCTTCTCAATCACAAGGGAGAGGCAGATATCAGTAAGTTTCAATGTCTGCATAAAATTCCTTCTTGTGCAATGTGTGGAGCAGAAGTTTTTTATTCAAAAGAAGCAGTCAAAGAATTTGCTAAAGAAATGAAAGTTCATTACGTAAATAGAATAACGGGTTATTTGTCATGTAATAAGCATAAGTCATTTGTATGTACCGTTTGCTTTGGGGAATAGTACTTTCACTTAGGTTCTTAAAAGAATACCAAACTCAGTAGAGTTGTTACCAAAGAGTCTGAGCCACTAAAAGAGAAAAAGATTTGAGAAATTCAGCCTGGTCAATGGCGTGATAAAGGTGAGAAGATTTATGAACCAGATTCTAATGTCATATACTGGCTAAAAAATAGGTATTAGGAATTGATTAAAAATATTACTGAAAGTACTGTTCCATCAATTCATGATCCTATTACAAGATCCTGAGTTTCATATCTCAATGGAGGTGGTGATTCTGAAAAAACAACATGCGTAATCTGAATCTTTAAAGATATAAACATGGTAGTCTTTACTTATACAAATGCATTGATTAAAGACTTTCAGAATGATCGTAAGGTAATAGCTCAAACTTGATATAACTTTTTTAGATAGAATGGTGTAGGAGAATGGATTTCTAAATATATGGGAGAAAAGAAATTCCCATGAGTTATCATCTGGAATGAAGTATGTACAGTGCCTAAACATATTCTAGAGAAGTTTATCGACTACTTACTAGAGCAAAAATGTTAGATAATCTGTTATGGAGATGATGCTCAACCTCTATCATTTTTTGGAGAAATGTCTCATGACTGGTTAAAAGAGCGAGCTGATTATTATGAGAAAGTCTTGACTGATTATCAGACCAAATGCCTTAGACTGCAAGAGCTTAAGAAAAAAATGTGACATTAAAATAATAGAGTGCAATCAGACCTATTCCGTGAAGCACTTTTAGTCATAAAAAAATAAGAATATCTCGAAGCTGAATGGAAGCTATCAGATCATATCTTATCAGCACATCTACTTTCCTAAAGAATTGCTTCCCAAAGATACTTAAAACTTCATCAAGAAAAATATTCTGATGTGCTGATCTCATTAATCTATAGACCAATAGATGGACGCAAACAAAATTGTCTTGTTCCAATCCCTAGCTCATCCGAAAAGAAAGAGTTAGTGAAAAATGACATAGTGAACTTACCCTTAAATACACTCCCTGATAAATTCTTAAAAGATATGTTGGCAGATAAAAAAGACATAATTGGGAATTTGGATATGCTATGACTATTCATACTAGTCAAGGAATGACCTTCAAGGTTCCACAGCGTATTTAGATCATTGATGAAAATCTAGCTTAGAATAACCTAATATATTTAGCAGTTTGTCGTATAGAATATTTAAGCCAACTCATTCAGGTTGAAACGTCCCCATTACTTTCTGAAATTGTCTAAGAGATTAAAAAAGCAAAAAAGAAAAGACAGCTAAAGCACGAATTGAGACCGTCTATTCAGGAAAAACTTATCAGATATATGAACCAGGATAAGGAAAAAGACTGTAAATTTGATCTAACAGTTGACTATATCCTCACATTAAAACGTATTCAAGAAAATAGATGCGCATTATGCCTTATAGAAATAAAATTCGAATGGGATCAACCAGGAGACATATTACAATAGATAGTAGATCGAATTCATAATAATTTAGGGCATATCAAAGAGAACGTATGCCTAATTTATCTTTTTTGCAACTAAAATCACAGAGTTTAGTTTATGTCAGTGATCCAGATTAGTGATATAATACAATCAGAGAAAGCAAATTGCAGTACTTACATAATTGTAAGATTTTTTCTGACACAATAAATATTCAGTTTATTTTTTCTAGATATGGAAAATGCCTTCTAAAAAGTATTGTATATATAATCATATAAAGCGGTCACTTGACATTTATAATAGTATATGTGTAACTTGATAAATAATACGCAATAATATCACTCTTTGATACTAAACGCAGGAGGTATGACTAAAAAAATCGAGAAATATCGCTTCTTTGATGCTTAGTATCTGCAGGAGAAAATAGATTAAGAAAGAAATACCGTCCCTTTGATGCTAAGCATCTGCAGGAGGAAATAAACTCATAAATAAATGCTATTCTGATAGATAGGAAAAATATTTTGGATGACAAATGCCTCTTCCGCAGTTCAATAGAATAAAGGGAGAATAATATTTTTTTGATTAAAGATATAGGCTTATATAATAAAGTATGGGATATAATATCAATTTGTATAATATGAAAAGTTTAGATGAAATTATAGAAAATGCAAATAAAAATATTAAAAAGATGTTTTTAGCAGGGGTTACGCCTGAACTTCGATAAGAAGTCTATATAATTAGTCTTAAATTGACATTAGATAGATTGGCACAGAAGCTAAAGTTTGCGTAAAAAGATGATCGTTCTTCTAAGCTAAGCAGTTCAGAGCAGTGATCTTTAACTTGAAAGAATTTACTGAACCATATCGCACGAAAATAAAAAAATAGAATTAATTGGATATTAAGACTTTTATATTTTGTAACAATCGTAGCCTTAACAGGAAGTATAGTAGTCTTTTTTTTGTGACATATGTTTGAAAAGGGTTATAACATAAATATAAGGTGAGATAGTCTTTTTATCTACTATAGTAAAAATCGAACAATATAAACTAAATGGTATTATACATATCTTTTCATCATTGATCCTGATTTATTCGTGATCTTTATTTCATGATGTTCATTTCTGAGACATTCATTTCTGAGATAAATTTTCTCAGGGTAAGGCTAATTTCATTTTAGTCTTAATATATGAAAAATATTTATGTAGGGAAAAAGGGCGAGAAATCTTTATAATTTAACAGTATGACTAGCGAAATACCAGCAAGTTCTTCAGAAATTCATGCAGATAATATAGAGGTTTTTCAACTTAAAGCACTTTCGTTAAATTTCCTAAGAAATACTTCTGAAATAACTGATGAACATATTCTGAAACTTAATCCTTGCCACTTTTGCAATGAAGGAATTCTTACCTTACTACTTCATTCATTCACAGTATTATTATGTGAATATATATACCATCGAATATGTCTTAAAAAACATATTATACGATCAGAAACGTGTTTTTCTTTATGTCCTATTTCTAGTTGTATATCACCTTTCGAACTTATTAGGAAGGAACTTACACTAGCTTTTGGTGAGTATTACATGGTGTCTAAGAATAAGGATTTCAGAAAAAAAGATCCCTTAAGTGATGATACTATAGAAGACGAAGATTTTCTTGCGAATTAGGGGAAAAGAGAACTGAAGTTACTATGCATGATCAAGCGACAAGTCCAATTGCGTATGTAGAAGAGATACCAGAGCTATCAGATATCATCGATGATACTGAAAATGGTGATGGAAATAACAATCATAGTTTACAAATAAGGTAGGTAATGCAGTGAAAATAGAATATGTAGTAATCACACTTACCTTTCATTCTGTTTATTCCCTGAAATCTATGATTGAAGGATAGATAATTTGACTAATCAAATAATTGAAGATGACATCGCTAATACACAAATCCGATCATCAAGAGAAACATCCTCAAGAACCAATCATGAACAGGAAAGATTTTGAGAGTTGTTACATGAATTATCTACACCTATTAAGGGGGAGACTACTGAAACCAATGATGAGGATGAGGGTTCTGAGAGTTTGATCTCGCAGAATTTAGCTCGATTATTCCAAAAAGCAATTAAGGCCGAAAAGCATGTAACTCAAGCTTATCAAGAGGAAATTCACTGTTGGTACTACTATGCTGAACGGTTTGAAAAAAGTGTTAAGGATGTTAAAGATAATGATAAGAGGGTTAAATATCAACAGGCTAGAACTCAGGTATATAATGCAATTTTAAAACATCTTTTAAACATTACAAGAGAAAATTTACGTAAGAAGACATAGAAGGTAAGAAATATTTTCAAATTATTCAGTAAAATAGGGATTAAAAAAGTCAAGAGGATTCAATCCTATAGTGCGGATAATATTTCAAAGCTTACAGGTACTCAAATCAAAAGTATTATAGCTCATTTTGCTCGGGAATCATAAATTCTTTGCAGATCGCGTGAACTATAGTTCATGCCACGTGACCACTGCGCTATATATTGAAAATGTTTTTTAGTTTATCTTTGCTCAGTTCACACATTCTCTGAAATAAATTTTAGTCATATGCAAACCCCCTTCGGCTAAATTCGTATATATTAATAAAGCATTTAATAAAGTATTTTTGTCCATATTGGGCCTACATTATTTTATTGCTATATCACAGTCGATCATCACGCATGATTTTTTTATTTGTATGACAGGCTGATTGATACAACAATTAATTACCTCATAATGCATGCTATTTCTTTGTGAAAAATTTGGCGCAAAAAATATATTGTTTCGCTTTTTATGTTATCATCTATTTTTGTCTTCGATCTACCCCATAATCTCAAGCTTAAGATTTATGAATCTGAGATATGCGAAAACGTTTAAGAGGGCAGTATACGAAATATTTTGTTCAGGTCGCTTATTCTATATTAACAACACTAAACTATGTCTTCTGAACTATATTTGAAAATTTACAATTTTTTAGTAACTGCTAAGCAAGAACACATTACTGCCACCTTGGTTATTTATCAGGAAATAGAAGAAGACCCATGGATTCCGAAAGAAGAGTTGAGAGAAGTTGTCTATCAAGCGATTTTGTCAGCAAAAATTTGTATGTTCAGAATTCAGTTCAGCAACAAAAACTCCTTGGAATACCACTTCAGATAATTTTTCGAAGTAAACCAGGGTATCTTGTTTGAATGATGAATAATGAATGTCGCAGATTGGTTTTGCCAGAATAGCAAACATATCAGCTTATCCATCCTATTTAGCCTGTGTATAGAATTTACTCTTGGGAACATGAGGAGGATGTTTAAACTGTTTTACTATGTTCGTCTACATGTTATGAGAGTATAATCACACAAAAGATATCGTCAATGTGAGGGCCCCATGAGGGTGATAGCTTGACCTGTGACTTATTGACTACGAGCGTAAAATAATAATAGTATTTAAGATTTTTAACCACAAATAGACTAACTGAATTTTATTAGTTGATGAAGCTTTTAATGGTGTCTGTAGTTTGCGAGACATTAGAGCTGTAAAAGTGAACAAAGAAAAGCCTCTTACTCTAGAACAAATCAAAGCAAACCTTAAGAAGATAAAGTTGAAACTAACAGTAAGTACATAATGTCCATTGCTTACGTACAACAAAAATCTTACTTACATCTCACGTAGAGAGATTCATCACTACTCGCCCAGCAATTCTCTCTTGGATTAATAAATACGATCACGTCCAGTCTCAAGTGGGATGATCCTCTCGCCAGCCAGGTTATAAATGATAAGTCGGATTTAGTGAATCACCTTCCTGACACAATGAAAAAAACGTTTCTTAAACCTGCCCGACGAATGGTGCCTCAGAACTTTTCAGCGATCAGAGAAATGTGTGGAAATTTTGTAGCAAGTTTCAGCGAACATTAGACGAAAAGTACGCTGAGGCTGTTAAAATATGATAGCTCTTGGAAAGAGTCGTTAGAAATTCGTAAGGACATTATATCGGAAATTCTAAGTACAATAAAGAATATCTGGAACAACCCTGCCTTTGAACCTAATTATGCAAATTCATTAAATGAAGGTACTTATGTCTCAAATGTGATAGTACCGCTGATTCGAACAACGTTAAAAAATCTCCCCCATAGAAATTCTTTATTTATTACTACATAAGTATCTGAGTCGTTGTAGCATTAAGAGGGTATCCGTTTCTCATAGTTCCTATCATTTTTCTTAGATACGAGCGTTAGAGTGTTGCGAGCAAAGATAGGAAGGGTGAAGGCAAAGCAGGGAGACGACCAGATATCATGTTTGAAGTTGAACGTGAGGAGAAAGTTTATGAACTTTTGTATGTTGAGTGCTTACGTTTAGTCTGCTTATCACAAAAGGATCAGGATAATATGATAAAACTATGGCAAGAAGCGAATGATGGATTGTATTGGACTCGCAAAGGATGTAAACTGGAGAAAGAACATTTTGGAATTATTGGAATTCAGATTGCAGGTAACGTATTATTTCTGCTTATTCCAAAGTTTCGCACAAAATGATGTTTTAATAATATGAAACTTTTATAGGACTTATGTTTCACCTGAACGTTCTCATAAGAGGCTCAGACGAAATTCATCATTACTACCATTTATATTCTGCTGAAATTCTGATGCATCTGGCGGGAGAATTCATTTTGTCAAATTTTGTTAAGACTTTGCTGATTTTACGGGTTTGTTATTCATACTGGTTATAATTATGCCTTTGGCCACAAAGATATCTAACGCGATTCTTATTTTAGAATATTATTATTGTCAACATGTCTTTACTATTCCATGCACCTTTATCAACATCGCATAGATAAATGGAAGATAGCTCAACGATTTCATCCTCATAAAGAGGAATCTTATTTTTTTTAACTTTTCTCAGGCTGTGACCTGATTTTATTTATTATGTATTTAAGTTACGTCCCGATATATATTTATTTTTTAACTTTGTATCAATAAAGTTTCTCCAGGATCGCGCGATCTTGCAAATTTCTTGACAAATTTCAGCGTCCTTAGGTCGCCCAAAATCACATGAATTTTTATTTTTTTGAATATTAATATATTAATACTACATTACGCAAGTATGCAATCTGAAATAGATGATCCCAGATTGGCCAATTCATTGAAACAATACATTGCCAAATTTGAGGTCAAGAATGATAAAATTAGGGCTGAGAGTATTGAACTTAAGGCCAGAATTGCGAAATTGGAAGATAATCAAGCACAGAACGAATTGATAAAAAATTTAATGTCTGTATCGCAAAACATGTGATCCTATATTACTAGCAGATCTCTCACAACATTGGCGCGTAAATTTCATCTTACTCAATAGTTTTGAGGAAAAATTCTTCTCATTAGTTGGGTATACTTTTTTCCTTGTACTTCTACGGATCCTGGTCAAGATCACGCGCTGAGGATCAATATAAATTAAAGGTTCTCCCATTCCAATTTTTTATAATTATGAAAAAAAAGCTGGTATCTATTAAGTCAGATTCTACTCATTAGCTTGAACATTTTTTTCCCTGCGCTTATGCCTAGCTTCTATTTTCTTCTGCAGGTTTAGTAGAGTATCAAACCTTAGGCGAATTGCAAGAGGATCATCTTCTGGCCTAGTGAGATCAAATACAACAAACTCACCTTTGCGGAGGTAACTATTAATAACCATAGATGCATTTTTTACATCATCAGTATAGCGCCTAATGATCTTAGAAATATCTTCATGTGAGCTACCAGAGTTAAATACTACTAGATGTGTTATGTTTTCACAGATAAATGTATCGAGTTTATGATATTTTTGCGTTATATATATACATAAAATATTTCGATGACGCCCATTCCCAAAAAATTGGCCAATTCGATTTTGTATATGCTCTGGAGCTAAGCATACATCCTCAAAAATAATTAATGTACTTCTCTTAGGTGAGAATGCTCTTGTACTAGGAATTTTTTCGGGTGGTATATAGCTGAAACTAATATCCTCATAGTAAGGCGCTCTTGGGTCTTTTGAAATCATATTATATATATATCTAACATATGCCCATTTTGGTTCATCTGGATGATAACCGCATATAATCAGGTCATCACAGCGGATATATCTAGACCCGCCTTTCTTCCCCTTTTTCACATATTCATCCTTATCATCAAGAACAAGGTTCGCAAGTAAATTAGTTTTACCTGTACCACTTTTCCCAGTAACAACCATAGCGAATGTCCATGTCATTGCTGGATGGCCAATATTTCGGGATGATTCATGCTTTGTGACTTCATCCATATCCAAAAGACGAAGTTTCATAGGAGGTAGTCCTGTCTTTTGGTTCTTCTGCGTATTGGATTGGGAAACCATAACTATGATTTCTATCTAAGGGTATTTTATAGTTCAGAATATTTTTTTCTTCATTGTAAGATGAATATAGACGAGAAAATATGCAATATAGGAAGTATATGATTAGTAATACTATTACGAAGATGAATGCATGCTGAAAAAATAAGGAATAAGGTGATTCTGAGGTTGTTTCGGGACTAGTAATGCCATTATCTTTCTCCAGTCCGCTAACACCTCCAAGCACTTCAGACTTCCTGGATATTTTTGAGATCTGCTCAACTAAATAACTATTATTTAGGACCGCTTCTTGAAGGAAGGTGTCTTTCTCTATCAATGCCTTTTGCGTTGTAGCTAAATTATCATTCATCTGCACCAATTCATCTTTTTTTTTGATTAGTGTATCTTCTAAATCTCTTTTCTCCAAATCTAGGTCAATATTTTTAGTAAATAGTTCTGCATTTCTCAGTTCCCATTTATACCTAAGAGATTCCATTTCTGATAACTCCTCTTGTGCTAAAGAAAGATCCCGCTCTAATTCCTCTGCTCTAGATTGAAAAGATTCCATTTCTAACAACTCCTCCTGTGCTAAAGAAAGATCCCGCTCTAATTCCTCTACTCTTGAATGGAGAGCTTGTATCTCTTCCAATTTTGTAGTAATCTCGCTTTTAGCATTTGCAAGAGAAATCTCTTTTTGATTAATCTCATTTTTGAGATCTCTTGCCTCATCTTCAAGCTGGCATGCACGCTCTGAAAAACTCTCATTATTTTTTATCAAGAGACTGTTTCTAGTGCCAAGCTGAATACCGAGCTTATAGCAATATCTAGATCATGTTTTAAACGTTAGTTCTCAAGCTCAGTTCGGCTAGATGGATATCGATTAAATGGCAAATCTCTAAGTTTATTGCCAGATACCAAGGGTGCCCCATTATTTATTTCATTTAACGTATGTATATTTGCCATATGAATTTATTTGAAAGCAAAGTTTTTTATGATTTTTTCCAAGACATGTTCTTACAAATTTTTGGTAAAGTTGTTAGTATAAAATAATATATGTATATTTTTTTTTCTTCGAATATGGAAAAGGGAGTTTAGAATCAAACTAATATCAAACTAATAAAAACCCAATAAAAAACCAATAATGAACTAGTTTCAAACAAATATAATATTTGAAGCATATATATCTTAAACCTATTTTTTATTTGAATCATGATTATAGCATACTACACTGTAAAGAAAGCGAACTACATATATGTAACCAACTAATACCAGACTAATGCCAGACCAATGCCAGACCAATATCAAATAAATTGCGAATAAATTTTCTACAAGTTTTTTATTAGTATCATACAGATTTATTACTAGCAAACTATGAGCAAAAAACAAATAATCCATACTCGTAAATTTCTTAGATCAGATGCCCGACGCTTGTCACCTGAAGCTATCGAAGAAATTAGAAATGCTCAGAATAATATTCCAGATGCTCGGCGTATTATGTGTAAAAAACATCGTATAGGATCAACAACATACCAAAAAATAATTGATAATCAGAGGCCTCCTGAACCTACTGAGGAATGGCGTAGAATCATAGAATCTGTTAGCATCTCTGACCAGATTTCAGATAATCAGGAATCTTCACACGATACTTCCTTCTCTACTCAAGAAGATGGGATTATTCATACGGAGCATCCTGCAGATGATGAGAATGGTCCAGATTCCCATATAAATTCTAATAGTCTGAATACAGTAACTAATGGACGAAAAGATAAAGTTAGTCGAAAAAAAAAGGCTAGTATAAAGCCAAAAGACGAGGAGTCAGAGACGAGCCGGCTTGGCTATGCTTCCTCTTCTTCTGCAGATAAAGTAGCCAATTCTTTTAAAGATGATACATCTAGACGGGAATTTGATCTTAATAAATTAGTAAATATTTCTAGAGAAGCTGTCATGCATCCGATCTATTCTCCATAAGTCGTGAGCATTTTTCTGCAAGAATATTACCTGCATTTAATGCTATGTCAAGCCATCTCTCAGTTTTTAATAGTTGCTCTTCAAGCTTTACGCACTTTTTTTTAAGTCCTCCTCACTATTTGGGCTAGAGGAGTTGGTAGATGCTTGGTCCTGCTCCTCTTTTGGCGGATCTTGGGCTTCTGGGGCCTTGCTAAAAGTTGGGATAGTGTAAGTCCTCCCATGTAACTTCATTCGGAATTGATTTTTATTCGGATCAAGAATACCTTGAACTTTTCGAATCAAGAATACCTTGAACTTTTCGAATCCATGTCATACCCAAACATAGCATTGGTTCGGGCTCACCATTATCAATACGAGTAAAATTTCCAGTAGCTGTGACAATCTTACCATTCTTATCCCTTATACTGATTGGTACATCTGTAAACCATCTCAATGATTCGGTGATGTGTTTGGAGTTGCCCTTTATAGCGAAATCAGATGGCTTATCAACTTTCCATCCAAGTGCGTTGATTGCTGGATCATTCATACAGCAAAATTCACTTCCGTTATCTAAAAAAGATTCAGAGATTGGTAAATCATTTATATTAGCATTCAAGTATTGTAGGGACGAAAACCACTCATCTTTTTTTGACTTATCTTCCTGAATCTTTCGAGATAGACACATTTTACGCATTGCTGGTGAAAGCTTTGGCAATAGCTTGTCATACGTTTCAGGCTGGCTGGATTCCGTGGATAACTTTTCATTTACTGGTACCTGTTTTTTTTTACCGGTAGATCATATCCAGTCCACATATTATTTTCTTCATCATAACCATCTCCTTCATTATCAGAACCTGGAGGCGTGTTTTGGAAATTTATAGGTGTGAGAGGCTTAAAATAAGACCGATTAAAGTTAGATCGCGCAATCTGCTTAGGACA